AACAGCTTGTAAAGCTCAAGCTGCAGTTAGGAAATGCTATACTGTTAAACTCATTCATGCTGGCAGGAAAAGCTGCAATGCTCCCACCTTATGTTCCTGCTTGAAGACGGAAGTCTCACACAAAGCCTGTTGTTTGTGTTCTGAATCAACTGGACAACATCACAAAACTTGCTAACAGCCATTCACTAACTTCTGTAGTATATACAGCACTCTTTTTCCACAGCTAATATTATAGCCTATTACAAATTCCACCATCAAACTAGTTTGTTTCCCTCTTTAGCCTCCTATATACCCTTCAGTCCTCCTCCTTCTTGCACTTTACTGTATTAACCCCCTCTCCGTGTCTCTAAACACTTCAGGGCTTTCTCTGTTTCGTGTCCTCTAGTCTAATTTTACTTAATCTCCTCTCATTCACTAGCTAATATTTTCTCTTCTTCCTCGGCTCAACCTCATTCTCTTCTCTTCTCAAACTGCTTCTGTCCATTTCTTCATCAACTCCTTCAACTTTAATCTACAGTATCTTCCATGGCCCGACATCTGACTCCAGTTACTGTCTGAGCAGGAGGAGGGTGGTGGGATGGGAGGACTGAATGGCTGCGGTCCATCTAAATCCAAACATTCCTGCTCTGCTCAGACAAGTCGACCAGGGAAGCAGAAGGAAACTTCCCAGAGAGGCTAGCAGCAAAGAACAACTGGAGGGATGCATGGGATAATGGTATTAACAACAACTCTGAATTGCAGAAACAAGCTATAAACCTTTGGGGCTTATTTTCCATAGTTTATTTTTCCTTTTTAAACAGATTTCTGTAAAGTGATGACACCACCAAACGTCAGAGACAAGCCGATGCTCTTAATGAATCACAAGTCACACTACACAACAGGGGAAATTACAGTAGTGAATTAGCTGGTTAGCTGAAAAAATGACAAGATCTGTATATATTAAGCTAGATTTTCTTGCTGTGTGATTTGAAAGCGCCTGAAAATGTAACCAGATTTTTTTGTGGCTAAAATAGCAAAACTAACATGGCCAGATAGCTGGTGCCACCAGATGTCAAAACATCTAAAAGATGACAGCTTTGGACTTCACTTGACGTTCTGTAACACACACCAGACACACAACACAAACATTAGTGTGAGACAATTCTTCTTCATACACCAACTGAGAACCAGCTTGGTTAATTTTCAGAAATTTACAGGCCTGGAAAATTTCAGTGTTAGGCCTTTTTAAACCCCCAGTTAAGGAAACACTGAGGAGAAACATGAGAAGAAAACAAATACATGAATCTGATTCAAAAAGTGAGACAGAGGTCAACATCTTATCTGGTGTTGCACACAAGCGAGTCAGCAGTTTGTATTGTTTGGTGCTGAATAGAGTTTGGCTTGTTCAGAGCGTGTAGTGTGAAACTTCTTACACGTTTCAAATTTAGACTGTCAAACACAAAGAGAGCTGTAGTGACAGTAAAGATAAAAGCAGAGTCCCAGACACTAAATCTTTCTTATCTCAGTTGTTCACTGGAAGGTCAAGGGGCCAGCTCTCCTGCTCCGGCTCAGAGAGGCTGAGTGTAGTAAATCAGTACTAACTCTGCTGTGATTTCAACCTCAAAAGACAGCAATCCCAGTCCCACCTATTTCACTTTACAAATCCTCACATTTCTCTCTGTAAATGACCCACACCACAGAATATACTGTCCAAGGTTTGTGGTTAATGATTATTTTCATTATCAGTTAGGCTGCTGATTATTCTCTCAATTATTTTGTCTATAAAATGTCAGCAAAAAGTTTTTCAGGTCACATCTTCAGATTTTTTAACCTACAGTCCAAACCAAAACTTTCAGTTTAGCGTCACATATGACAAAGAAAATCCTCACATTTGAGAAGCTGTGATCATGAAATGTTTAGCATTTTCGCAAACAAGATGAGAGGACTTTAATGAGGACTGTACACTGACCACAGCCAGAGTAGGATTTAGTGACGAGTCCGTGCAGAGCAGTTCCCTTGAGCAATACTGCCTTAGACATGCAGTTAAATGTAGATAAGCAGTCCTGCAATCAGCAAGAACCACTTCAGATAAATGTACTTCATCCTGTCATTTCACCTTTGTAAATATAGTGTGCAGCAGAGCTAATGGTGAGAATTTTTCATATACACTGGTATTTTTGTTTATATTAATTAAACAGAAGAGCTCATCTTTGTAACATGTAGATAACCACTGTCAGCAAAAAACAGCTCTCGGTAATCAAAAAGCAGGCTATGCAAATCAACCTATCATATGCTGTTCACTGGAATAGGCAGATGTCTTTAGCAAGAACCACTTCAGATAAATGTACTTCATCCTGTCATTTCACATTTATGTCCTATGTTAATAGTTAATCGTTTGAGAACAACAACAACTAGTATACTCATAGAAAATCAGCAGCAGCTATAGATATATCATTCAGAGATTAATCAGCTGTTCAAAGGATTCTTCAGTCTTGTTTTGTTGATCGGCTCATTAGGTAATTGCTCAGTGGTAATTGCACTTGACTTTAAGGTTACACTTTTTCATATTTATCGGAGAACCATAAAAAAAAGTTTAAAAAAGTAGAAATTAGAAAATTTTCTGTCGCTAACAAAAATGCCTGCTAAAATCTTGTCGAGTGTCTTCTATTTCTTTTTTTTTTTATTTTTTTAAATGAATCAAACAGTCGTCCCACAGCTTGTCGAGCATGTTCCTCACTGTGTGGATGCACAGTGAGACAACAGAAGTGGACTCACAGACTGAGGTTTTGTTTTGTTTTTTTACAGACTGGACAGAATGTGGTGTTGTTCCTCCAGGCTGAATAGGAGGAGATGAAGGAAACAATAACAGAAATGGTTTGTTAAAACAGAATTTCAGCATTAATGTTTTTCGAATGATTTTGGAGCATTTTAAAATGTTTTTAAATTTTTAACAATGCCAAAAAACAGAAAGCTAAATATGGGCTTTCAGCTAATTATCATCAGTTGTGTAACTACTGAGCTGCATAACTGATGCTGCTGACAAGGGACTTACATTATCACGTTACCTTTTGCCAACTTCCTCACTTTTGCAATAATCATTTAAGTATTAAAACGATTATTCCAAAGTCACAGAATTGTTAAAAGACTATTAACAGTCACAGAATTGCCCAAAATCCAAGATGGGCAATTCTAAAACATTAGCTGCTTATTTTATCCAACCAGCAGAGTAATATCAGAGAAAATTAGCAAATATCACATCATCAAAACTGGTAATGGGCTTTCTGGGCTTTCTTTTTAGCTGTGTTAGGAGTGTTCTCCTCCATAGGGCAGTCAATTGTAGTCAGGCTTTCAGTCTTTGCTGTAACTATAGCAAGCATGATTTCATGCAGTAAATTACCCAGTCAAGAGTCAGCTTTTGTCTTCATGCAGCTTCCATAGTCACCCCACAGCTGCTGTCACTATATCCACTGACCCAACAGCTCATTAATTGTTAATGATGGCACTTCAGAAGACTGACTTCCGAGGGCAAAGTCTCAGTGGCATTGTAGAAAAGACTGGCACGTGGTCATATGGGTTGCGAATAGCAAAAGGGTGCATGGTCAGGTGATTACATGGAGGATCATAGGTCTGACATCAAATTACAGACATGTATAAAATAAGGACATAGCTCCCAGGTCTAGTAAGTGAAGCTAATGGCAAAGTGCCTTCAACATGCATTCAATGTGTTAGACAGGTGGGGGCTTTGTGGTAGTATAAAGAAATCTGATTGAACAGAAATCTATGGGGAGATGGCTTTCAACGCTCACGATCTAGATCTTTAGTAAACATATTCTTGATGTGTTTATGGGCTCCACTGCTAGTTTTAGTTCTTACGGAGTACAATATTATGTCCATTTTGACAATTATGATGCCCATTCGAGTCAAAAGGAACTAAGCGCTGTATACTTTAGGGTACCCCTATCTTATAATTGACAATTTGCTAAAATATGAGCATGCTGTGTCTCAGGTTTTACCTGAATTGCTGGTTTTGCAGGTTAAACTTAACTGTGGACAAATTTCACTATTTCCTAAACTTGGACCCAACTAATGGAATAAATCCACAAATTTGAGCTCATTACATACACATCGGTATTTGTACGTATGTGGTAAAAAACAAAATGCCAGCAGGAGTATCTGAAGCTCTGCTATTTTGCCATGACCTCACAACTTAGAATATGATATGATCCAGTGTCTTCATTGTAAATTCTTAGTTTGTGAAACACTTTGCTGCTTTAAATACTACATAAATCCATTTTCTTCTGCTTATCCAAGTTTATCCTATCCCTGCTGAGGCAACAGGCGGGGTACACCCTGGATAGTTTGGCAGTTTGTCACAGGGCTAACACAGAGAGACACAAGATACAACCCCACTACCTGCATGTGTTTGGACTGTGGGAGGAACTGGGAGTTTCTGGAGGGAAAGCAAGTAATTAATAATAGTTTAGATTTGAGTAAAGCTGTTGCACTGCACTGCAAATAAAAATATATTAATAAACAGTATATAAAATTTTTTGAATGTATATAATTAAAAAAAATTAATGTTGGTAATCAAGTAATAAGCAGATATGTTGTATAATTTAACAAAAGCTACAGAAATGAAATTGTTTTTTCATCGTCTTTTGACACAAAAACCCTTTTAATAGATATATTTTAGATATATTCCGCCTGTAAAGAGTCGTGTCTGCAGCTGGTCTGCGTGCAGTTTCCACGGTTGCAACAGAGTACATTAAACGAGGGATGAAGATTCGATTTTACCCACGTGGCAGAGTTTCTGTCACTCCACCTGCGTTTCCTGTGCTCTCAAATGAACCCTAACGATTTCACTTGCGTATAAGGAAAATATGCTGTCAAAATATTATAAAATATGACAAAGCCAACTTCCTTCGTCTTTTTCACTGAAATTAAAAGGAAGTGGCTCCAAACCACTTCTCTTATATCCAACGGTGTGACATCCAGTTTGTGTGTGTGAAAAGGGACCTTACCTCCCAACGGCCGTAGGTCATGAAGTACAGGGCGAAGGGGATGGCTGTGCCGGACATGGCGTGCGTGGACGGCATGCTGTACTCGGAGTTGTAAAACACCTCCACTTTGACCACAGGCGGTGAGGCCGGTCGGGACCAGCCGAGCACATCCTTGGTACACTGTCCCAGGTACATGACCCAGACCCACACCATGATCAGTCGCCTGCTGACGAAGGCGTCCACGTTCCACGTTATGAATGGGAAGAAAGTGATGTAGAAAGTCTCGTTTCCCAGCTCGGTTCCGAAAGTGAAGAGATAGTACAAGAGGCGGTTGTCGATCAGGAACTCCTGCCCGTCGTCGCCCGTTAGAGAATTCTTGCGGAGTGGCTTTACCTTGCTGCTCCTTGGGGGACCCAAGACTCCTCCGACCTGGCTCTCCTCACAATCGGCTGCCCGGGATAAATCTTGCGCGGACCCGCTGCGGACGCCCGGTCCCGCGAGGCTTCTGCCCACACCAACCCTCTCTCCCCCGGCGGTCGCCGCAGACACCGCTGTCCCGTTCTGTGACAGGGTTTCACCTTCATCTTTAAAATTATTTGCAACGTTAGAGTCCGCCATCCTTCTCCGACGCTTCGCTGACGCCGTTTGCATTTTCTCTCCTTCCCCAGCTCCTACATTGGACAAGTTTTCACGGTCATCCTCTCCGGCGACGCGATGATGACAAGCGCCGTTGTTGTGCGAGTGAGCCCGGTCCGCTACCTTGCTGCTGCCGGTGGTCGTAAACGTGCCCCGTACCCCGCAAATGTTCTGAAAGCGGGCGACAAGGTGAGGGTCCTGGAGGCAGTGGCATAGCTCTTTCATTTTCTCCATGTTTTAATTCCCTCTGACGACTCCCAAGTAGCCGAAGAAACGCGTACTCCGTTACTTTCTCCGAACTGTGGATGCTAGCTCCCCGGCTAACGTTAGCGAGCCAAACCGTACATCATGGCAGAGCGGCACTCAAAGGTGAACCCTTGAAGCATTTGCAAACGGTAGAAAAAATATGACAACAACTTGAGTCGTTTTAAAATAAGAAATCCCGTTTTCAGTTGAACCGTATCGGATATAAAAAACCGGAGGGCTCCTGCCGTTTGTCTGAGCCTAGATGCGATAAACGTTCCGCTATGTGCAACTGTCAGATCCACGAGAGGTCCGTGGAACGCGCCTTCCCCGTTGCCTTCAGGTGCTGCATGAAATGTCACAATTCTTCCCCAGTCAACTTCAGAACGTACAGAGATTTAGGACCAAAGTCGAGGTCGGACAGCCACTGAAGTAACAGGAAGCCGCTTAGATCGCTTTAGATGCAGTAATCAGGACGTTGATTGACAATGAGCAGTTAGAATTTTACCGTTTAATTTGACCGTTTGCCGGGTGTAAATTGCCACGTGTGTACTGCAAAGTGTGATATATCAGTGGCTATAATAAAATGCATTTTTAAATAAAGCAAAGCGCTGGGAATCTGCCAAGAAGAAAAGGAGACCACGATCAGTCAAACAGAGGCTACACATACATCACAATAGATGTTTTTTTTTTTCTTTTTAAAGTCTAGAAATACTGGATCATATTTAGTTTGTGTATTTAATAATTATGTAAAAAATATCTTAAAGTGAAATATGCGTTTATAACTCAGTCATTGCTTTGTGGGTGCAGAAACGTAACTGCTCTCCAGTTCATAAAGGCTTGAAATTAAATTGTGTAAAGTTCTAGTTTACAAACCATAATATTTAAAAGTTGTGCTTTATCAAATTACGTAATTATGTTCTGTTACAAACTCTCTGCAGAGGTGACGGTTGCTGATGTGAGGATGTAAAGTCTGTCTTTGTTTGGAGCACTTGAAAGCAACGGTGGTTCCACCGGCGCGCACGCACAACATTCAACGGAACTGAAAACGTCATGGCGTGACGTGACCGCGCTTTGTTGATAGAGAGGTCGAAAAATTAAAAAAATGAAACAAAAATGTCACATTACATACTTTATTTGATAATCAATCACATGAAAAAAGTTTAACGGCCCTTTTTCAAAATAGTTTCTTAAATACAGACTATTCATATTCATCAAAATATAAATTTTTGATTTAAAATATCAAGCTTCTCTTTAATAGTTGCCTTTAGTTTGTCATTGTTGTTTTACCTTATTTTCCTTTATTTTTCCATTTAAGTGATTGTTATCAAGATGCACATTGCAAAAATCAGTAAAACTCCTGGATAGACACTGAACACACGAAAAGACACAGAAGAAGGATGGATAATTAATCGCTGTTGTCATACAGCAGGTAAGTCAGCTTTATAAAGCACCAGTGTGCCGTGTTAAATAACGTATTTTCTGACCACTTTAGCAAACCTCGGTCCTCTGTGAAAACACTACTGGTGCTGGAACCATAGTAAGAAAAAAATGGAATGCAACATCAAGTTAAAGGCCTTCTGGTCTCTGAAATCCAGCATTAAAACACCACGAGGCTGAAATGCATTCACAAAAGCAATATTTGGTATCAGAAAGAAAGTATTTTGACTTCATAGAACTGACAAAAAAATATTTCCTCCTTTTTACATAGCAAAAAAAACCAAACTTTTATATTTAGGTATTTACTGCCACTAGCATTATCTCTCTTTATTATACATATATGTATAATCTGGGATATTTAGACTATGCAGACTACAGGTTGGTGCTTAGTATGGTAACAATAGTGTTTGCCAACAGTTATAATTCATTTGAAAACGTGTTAAATGTTTGCTATATTGTATGTTTCAGCAGATGTTATAATTGTTGACAAATCTCTTTACACCTACAGTGGGTTATAATCTGTATATAACATCTATTAATGCTAAATCAGAGGGAGGTTTAAAGTAAGCATTCCTCTGTTTTCTTTCTTGAACACAGACTACTAATAAATGCTTTGAGATAATTTTTTTCACCAGCAGAGGGCAGCAAAGTGCTGCAAAATGAAAACATAATCACGGGACATCGACCACAGAGAGAAAACAGTCTTCCCACAGGCAGTAAACGCACCCCGGGGGAATGAGTGCCTTGAGTTCTTCATAGCATTAGAATTCACACGATCCAGGGAATGTTACACAGAATATTTCATAAATCACACAGTAGCATAAAAAGATAACAGAAGCAAATCAGCAAATATTCTCCACGCAAGCCAAGGTGCATCAAAAGTAGCCAGCAGTCTGTAAATCCCTGAATGCGCTCACAGTTTACATGAGCAACAGTAACAATAAAAATCAATAATACTACGGCTGCAAAGAATTAAAAAAAATGCTGCCTGCTTAAAGTCTCTTACATTTGCACAAACAGTAAATAGCAGTAATGCTGCAGCAGAGTTTAATATCAACACTCCTGAGGCAGAAGAAGAAAATGGTCTCTCAGATTCTTGAACCACTGCTTCTCAGCAAGGTGACGAGAAGAGGCGACGTCCTGCTGATGCACGAAACAGAGCCTGCGACACATTCCCCTCAAAGCATTTTTAGCAAACAGGGAGAAAAACAGCAGCAGCAGCAGCAGCCTTCCTCCTGCTGGTTGGAGCAAACAGTGCGAGTCCACATGCCTGTGACATGAACCGACGCTGCAGTTCCCAGCTTTGAAAAGAGGCCTGGCGGTGAGGAGCAGAGAGTCAGCCATTGTCATCCAGGTTGTACAGGAGGACCTGGTGGTTTGGGGTGAGGCCCGGGCATGTACCCAGGCTGTACAGGCAACCAGCTGACGGGTAACACGGCACCAGCCGGTAGTGCTGCAGCTCCTCCAGGCCAAAGCCCGGGGAGCAGCAGTCTGTCACCAGCACCTTCACTCTCTTCCTGTCTGGGTACATCAGCCTCCGCTGCCCCCTATCCCCGATAACCCCCTCCTCTTCTTCCTCTTCATCTACTTCATCTTCTTCTTCCTCCTCCTCAGCCTCCAGCTCCTCCTCCTCATGGTGGATCTTTCTCAGCAGGTTGTTGATGAGGACGGAGCGCCTCAGGTAGGCCTCGGGATCTTCCAGGAACCTTAGTTTCTCCAGGGACAGCCTCAGGATGCAGCTCCGGTCCTCCTGCAGTATCAAGTGCTGCAAGTGGCAAACGTGAAGGCAGCAGATCAGTTTGTGTCTTTACATTTTTTTTTATTTTGACAATTTATACTGAGAATTTTCAAAAAACATCAGAAAAAAAATATTTTTTAATTATTATTACTGAAGGTATTTTAGCGTACATTAAAAAGGGGGTTGAATGTGGTTTTAAACAGCAAACTTTACCTTTGTAACATAATGTATTTTATAACTGACCTATTTAAAAGAAAGTTAGCTGGAGATATTTTCCCTCTCCCGCCTTCATTTAATCCCATTTTTTTGTAAAATTGTTTGAGTTTACCTCTCTAATACACACAATCAATTATCTATGTAGACATGTAGAAAAAGGGTTTCCATCCAGTTTGCTTAGTTTGTCCACCTTTCGTGATTAAACTGCAGTTGTGCTTTAAAATTGTAAAACAAGCAAACTTAAAAGAGAAGATTTCAAAAATGGAACATTTCTGTTAAACAAATCTTTGATAGTTTTCCTAAAAATGCTTCTGATGGCTGTTGCCCACAAAGTTTCTAAATAGCTTTTTCCAGGAGGCAATGGGAGAACGCACATTTTGAGCACCATCCTTAAATAAAACTGTCCAGTACTTGAAATACTTTTGTAATGTTTAATGCTGCTATTTTCGAACATAATCCTGTAGTTTTTTACTGCATTACAATTACATGGCAGCTTTAGCTAGTCTTTAAAGCGCTTCCAACATATGGTGCTTTTATTATGAAGTGAAACTGTGAGCTGAGACAGGAAATGATTGACTGAAATAGAAGGGCAAAAGTGCGTTATCATAGAAAAATTTGACAAATTTCACATTTTTTAGCTTCTCAAAAAGTGAACCTTGGGTGTTTTTCCTCTAAGTGATTAAAAAATATACTGAAAAAAATAAGCACCATGATTGTGACTTTGGCTAAATGATGTCATTAATTAATTAATTAAATTAATTATTAATTAACATATATATATATATATATATATATATAGCTGCAGTTCACTGAGCTGGAACAGGGAACTAGAATATTTTCCCAATTCCTGATTATACTTGTATATATTCCTAGGTGTCATTTTTTATTGCACGACTTTTATTTGTAACATATTCTTTTTGTAGAACTGCATTCATGCCTGAAATGCATAAACCTTTAAAAGTAGAGTGAACACTTTAGGTATTCAAAGCAGAGAAACAGTGGGACTGTGTAGGATGCTGGAATAAAGTTGAAGGATGTGATGAAGGCCAGCTAATAAAGAGTGAAAGCGTTAAAGTGATGGAGAGAATTGTGAATGTCGAGAATGCACAGAAGCAAAGAAAGAAGACAAAAGAAGGAAGAGGCAGTAGAAAAGAAGCAATAAGCGAGAAACATTTGGCGAGCGTGTTCAGCTATGAAGTCACCAAACGTTTCAGCTGTTGTATTAAGGTCTTTCAGGCACAGAAAATCAAGTCACGCTGGCATGAAAACAACAAAAGAAGAAGAAAAGAACACGTACTTTTTGAAAATATCCACGTAGGCCTCGGTGTAAATCCTCCTCCTCCGCATATTTCCTCTTGAAGTAAGCAACTTTCGACGTTGTTGAATGGTTTGGTCTCTCTCACGGGGAAGGAGCTGCTGGAGGCAACCACACAGAGATCACTGCTTTCTACCGCCACCACAGCACCACAATCATAATGTGCTGAAGCCTCTGTGTTACACTGAGGGGATTTCACTGGCTGGTTTTAACTTGAGTGCTTATCCAGAGCAGAAACTGCTTCCATGTGATATAAGGTGAATGTTGGTCTCTGTATTCTTGGATTAAAGCTGGTGATAATTATCTATATCACCAAAATCCAATATATGTACATTTTTGCACAGACTGCAAGACAGTTTAGCCTCTCAGGACAGACTTAAAGACTGAAACCACAGCTTTGCTTTGGTTATTGAGTCATTGTGGATACGTTTTGTTTTGCTCCCACAGTTGTTTTGCAGATCATGCACACGTGTTTGTCATATTTTGCCTCCTTTTCAGGTCATTCCTCACTCTCTGTGGTCAGATTTCATCCCATCTCTGGTTAGTTTAGGGTTTATTTCTTTTTTCATGTGTTTTTGAGGTCATTTCTTTACTT